CACGTAGCCTGAGCCTATGCTGTAAGAAATGACACCTCTTATTCGCCAAATGGGGTGGCGACACCATTCATTTTTGTACTCTTTCGCCAAGTCCAATGGCGCCTCCCTTACTGTCCAATCGTGATACATACATGGGCTTATGAATCCACCTAGCCTGCCACCTATCCTGGCCCTATTCTGCACACATAAATGTTTTGTGTAAGACTCCACCCATCAACTCCAATGGCCTTGCATGCAACAAAGAAAGGAATCCCAAAGGCTGTCACGTAGCCTGAGCCTATGCTGTAAGAAATGATACCTCTTATTCGCCAAATGGGGTGGCGACACCATTCATTTTTGTACTCTTTCGCCAAGTCCAATGGCGCCTCCCTTACTGTCCAATCGTGATACATGCATGGGCTGCCATCTAGCCTGCAAGAGTGACACCTTACATTTTTTGTAAATGCATGCATGCATATGTGTAACACCTTAAGCATGCAAATGTGACACTTCGCAGGCCTGCAAGCACAAGCAACCACTACATAAAACTTATTTGCCTATAAATACATACCTTATGAAACATCTCTCACACCCACACAACTCTCACTCTCTGCTACGAAATATTTCTTAAGTCTATCATACTCTCTATTTCTTCCTAAGTCTTTCATACTCTCAAGCATTCTGAACAATGGCTCTTCTAACAATGGGCGATACTCACAGAGGCACAAGGGAAAACATTGCTGCATTTGTAAGTCTCTTCTTTGGTTATACATTTTTCATACTTCAAATAACGTGTTGTTCATCTTAATTAATCTTACACTTGTTTAATTATGATCTCAGGACACAAAAAGATTCAGAATCCGTTCGCACAACTACCTAGCTCCCGACCCATTTATCGTCCCTTATCTGGAATATGCAGGTTTTGGACATGTGATAAAGATCTCCAACTGCACCATTGACTCAAAATTCATTCTTGCAATGTTGGAAAGGTGGAGACCGGAGACCCATACATTTCACCTACCAATAGGTGAATGTACCATCACGCTTGAGGATGTGTACATGCTACTGGGCCTCCCTATCGACGGTAAGGCGGTGAACGGGTCGGTTCAACAACCCAACTCACAGTGTGAAGAACTGTTGGGTAGGGATATGGTAGAAGGTGGTGGAGCAAGAGGGCAGGGAATACTACTCACTGACCTGAAACGTCATTATGCAAGTATGGAATTAAATGAAAATTCCTCAGAGAATGACCGAGTAGTAAAAGCCAGAACGTATCTTATGATACTTTTTGGTACATTTTTATTTCCCGAAAGTACGGGAAATAGTGTAAATTTCATGTACTTACATTTACTAACAAATTTTGAAAAAACTAGAAAATGTAGTTGGGGTTCTGCAGTATTAGCCCACATGTACAGTTCCTTGTGCAAAAACGCAGTCAAGGAAAAATGTACATTTTATGGGTGCACATTTTTACTACAAGCCTGGGGTTGGTGGAGGATGGAGTCCTTAAACCCCATCAACAACAACACTTTTGGTTTCCCGTACGCAACAAAGTAAGTCATTAAGTTATAGCATTTATAACTATTCTGCTCTTTCCAAAATATATGCTAAAAATAACATGTTTCTCATTTCCTTTAGGTACTGTGTGAGGGGTATGGATTACGGCAAGAATCCAAGATTCAATGTCGCACTCTACCGGAATCTGTTGGATCACTTAGGCCCAGATGACGTACGTCGTAGCTTTTAACTTTTGTTCATTTTAATTATTTATACATTACTTTTGCGCTAACCTGATTTAAATTTTATCGCAGTTCGTCTGGAGACCATATTTGGGTTTGGGCCATGCTCCAAACCCAGAGGATGCAGCAACTTGGACTGCAAAGACTGCACTCATTCGGTTCAACATTGTGGAGATGCACCACAGCGACCGTGTGAAGATGCAGTTCGGAATGCATCAAGAGATACCAAGTGATCCAACAGATTTGTCCCCCTGGCATCTTAAAAGGGTCGACGCCCAGTGGGGTCTTACCAACTGGAAAGACTTTGCTCCGGAATGGTGTAAAATGTGGCAAAGGCGTCACCGCTACATCTTGCAATCCCCAGTTTTCCTTACTCAAGGTAACATGCGACACACTGATCAATATATGTCGTGGTACAGGTCAGTTAGTAACCCAGAAATGCACGTGTCTCATCCGAGGTACTTGGTTGACCCACGCACACAATGGGCACAACCCTCGATTCCCCATCAACAAACCCAAAATCCATCAACCTCAAACCAACCCCCAAGAAGAAACAGACCAACAAACACACAACCACATTCCCCACCACAACACAACTATAATCAAATGCCGTACTACCAACCACAATCACCACCAAACTACCAATACCCGGATATGCCTCAAACCCAACCACAATACCAACCCCAATACCAGCACACCCACATACCCCAGACACAATTTCAGTCTTCCACATATCCCAATATGGCGCCCTCAACATCCAGCCTTAGCCCTGATATGGGAATGTCAGAAGATTATGACCAAGCCGACCAAACCTACCATCAACCACCATATCACCAAACAACCCAACATCCACAATACCAAACACCCCAAGATCCATTTCCTTTCTACCCCCCATACTCAGACGACCAATGCTACCGACCAACCATGGAACCCCACCCACCGCCAACACGACCAAACTTTGAGGGTATGGGTAACCGACTGTACCAGAGCGGATCTTCGAGATATGGAGATCTTACTGATTTTATGGATTCGGATCGCATTGACTTCGCTGGGCCATCGACCTTGCCGCAGCAGGAAATGCGACGGCACCCAGCAAGAGAAAGGCGAGGACGGGGATGCGGAACCGGGGGTCATTACCGGGTTCCGGGGGATCACTGATGTATCTTTTTTTTCCCAGTATTTTTTGTATCCATTTTTTTTACTGTTCTTTTAATGTAATACAGTTGAATGTAATTATTTTTTTTAATAAAAAGTCCATTTTGTTGATCTCTGTCCAATAGGCAACGCACAGGAAAGAAAATAAAAAAAAAATTTTTGCCCTAAATTTGTACATAGGCGCCATCTCACTTGGCTTAGGGCATGCCCTAAGCACTTAGGCGCCAAGTGAGATGGCGCCTCCATTAAAAAAGGAGGTGCATGCGCCAATTGAGATGGCTCCTCCTTTGTGGAGCCATCTCAAACATGGTTATTTGCGTAATTTTTTCCGAAACCCGGTTATTTACGAAATATTTTTTTAATACATGGTTATTAATAAAAAAAATTCAGGTTTCTCATCTGCTACCTCTTCTGTTGTAAACACATGAGCGGGCCTATCCAGTCGCCGAACTAAAGTTTGAGGTATATCATTCCAAGTATTCACTTGATACATAGAAGCTAGAGTATCCAGAGCATCTGCCATTTGATTTTCGTCTCTGGGGATGTGATGGAATTAAACTTTATTAAATAAGGGTAACAATATTCTAGCATAATCTTTGTAAGGGATTGTAGCGGTAGAAATGTTTAAGACTAAGCCATTGGATTGACTAGACTTATACAGATGAAAATCGCCACCGTAGTTTATTGTTTCCAAAGGAATGAGAAAAGAGATAGTAACCCAAAAAGATGGGGAAAGATTCAAGGTAAGGGAGTTGGTTATGTAAAGGGAAGGTATTAGTACCCTAAACATCTACAGTACTCCGCATGAACCTCTTTGTAAATCTGTGTATGTTGGCTATTAAAAAGAGCTATTTGCATGAATGAATCAATTTGGGGAAAATAAAGTTTATTATTATTGCGTTTGCCTGGATCTCCAATCCAGTGCCTACGTATCCCAGAAGGAATCATAACACTCGTAGTTCTTCTTATAAAAAATTTAAAACACAAGTGTGTTGGTTAATTTTATGATATAAGACATCATCGTCATTGTCCGTGTGGAAAACATACTTATTACCCACAATCATGAGAAAAGAGAATTTGCATCATCTCAAAGTGGAGGATATGGCTTGGATTTCAAAATCAACAATGCCTCACTCAACACCCAAGTGGAAAATATCTCTCTTCACTACATGTTGTAGAAGTATAATTGTTTGCATCACTACAAGGATTGACAAAAGTCTAATCTTTTGAGAAAATTTTAAAGATAAGAGCAAAAATGGAAAAATGGTTTGAGTGAGATTAATTGACTTTTAGTCTTCTCACAAAAATGTCCAGGTATTGTTAAGTTGATTGAAGTTTATTTATGAAAACATTTTGAAAATGCATGGACCTAAGTCCAAGTTTATTATGAAAGTGGTTCGGGTTTAGAAAGAAGAAGTGCTTTTAAAATGAGGTAGAAGATTTTTGAAATAGGAGGAGATGAAGGGACTATCCTAAAGCAAGAAGGCAAAATCTATTTTGATGCTTGTGCTTGTATTAACTTCCTAAGGTCTAATCAACATAAAACGATCAAAAGGGAGATTAATTGTCTCGTGGAATCCTAAAGGAGCATGTAATTTCAACGCAAGACAATCCTCAATTCTCAAGCATTTTATTTGATCAATATTACACAAAGAAAACACATAAAACATGATGTGTAAATTTGATTTAAAAGAAATTAAAAGCATGAAGAAATAATAGGAATAAAATCTAATTAAATCCTAAAACACTTATAAAAGCCTAAAGTATATTTTTTTATATCTCTTTTTATTATTTTTATTATTTTTAATGCCTAAAATAAAAGAAATTAAAACTAAACAATAAAAGAAATATTAAGAAGAACGAGAAAATATAGGGGGTGTGAAATTCTGACTACGGGTGTGGGGAACGGTTGCCCAAAGCTTCAGTCCAAGAGAAGTTTTTTGTTCAACTTCATTCTAAAAATTGCATGGGTTTGTAGCAAACATTTGTTGACCCAGGCCCAGCATAGATCCATCAACAATCCATATTTCAAAATTAACCTACTATTTCATAAACGTTTGATTTAAAGAAACAATTAAGTGAAAGAAATTAGCAACGCAGCATTTTGGTGAAAACAAAATTAGGGTTCTAAAAAAGTGTCTTTTGAACTTCTCCTTCAAAATAAAACCTCTTCCTCCTCACATTGCAGTACCTCCTCAGCTTCTTTTCCTCCGATCGGTGCGAGCTAGCGGCTCCGCCCCGAAGCAAACACAATCCATAGCCATCCCTTTCGATTGTTATCGCACATGAAGAATAAGGAAGAAGCATTGAGACTTACCTGCCGGAGACCGGTCCGGCGCGTCTTCAATAGTGAGACAGAAAATCAAACGATCCAAGTATACATTTCAATTTCCTCTGTGAAACTATTTCTTCCCCCCTTTTTTTACTTCTTCGCTTTACTCTTCTTCGATTTACTCTATTCAGAGTTTTCTACATTTCTCCTCGTTTTGTGTTGATGAGGCAGCCTTGTTGTTATTGCAGAAAAGATGAGTAGAGATGGAGACGGGAGAAGATTGAGGATGAAGATTGTTGGAACAGTTGAAGAGAGATGGAGAGGTGATTATGAAGACGTGAAGGAAAGTGCAGATAAAATTCAGAGAGAATTTGAAGTTTGTTGGAACCGAGTTTTGGAGAAGTGAATCACTAAAGCCTCAGAGAATTTCAGAGAGAACTCTGAAACTTCTCTGAGAAATTCTTCTGCATAAGTGAAGACCGTCCTCCTCCTTTTCTTCTGGATCTGAAGATGAAATCTATTATATATCAGTTGCTTGGCTTGTCTGAGAAGCTTCTCAACAGGTTAGATCATTTGATCCTTTCAATTTGAAATTATGTTATATGAATCAATGGATGAGATGAACTGAGCTGGAACTTCAGTTTTAATTTTCGTAATTTTTCTTTGGCTTAATACTTCCTCTTGTTTTCTCTTTGGTCTTGATGAGCTGGTATAAACTTCTTGCGCAAGCTTTTAATTTTTTTCCAAAATTCTGTTTTTCAATTTTCCTAACTGGTTTTATTCTGTTATTTGCTGAGCTGGAATGTTTTCATGTTCTTCTGGTTTATTATACAGGTCAAAGTTTGATGAACTGGTTTTATCACTTGAATGGTTTTTTGGTTTTTATGATGTGCAGACAATTTATCAGATACAAGGGCCTGATTTGTTTCTTCTTGAATCGATGCTAGCCCATGGTTCTGCACCAGCTTTTGTTATTTATTTATTTTTTGGACTGGTTTTAAAACAATGCAGGGTTGCACTTTTGGTAAGTTTGGATAACTGCTTTCCATCTTTCTTCTATTTCGCTGACTTTCTTTAGATATAATATTTTTTTCTGATTTTTCACCTATCACAATACTTAACGCAGGGCTGATTTTGAGAAGATATTTTAGACAAGATTATAACCACCTTGGAGTTGTTTTGGTTCAACATGGTACAAGCAGAAATAATGGCAATTTTGGACAGAATGTATGAACTAATACTATTTTTGGTTATTGTTATGCTGCAGGGTTTTGAGTCCTTTTCCTTTTTATTGAGACATCAAGTTCAGAGCTTGAAGATTGAAGACTAGGTCTAGGACAATGTTTTTGTTATGTAATTTTCTGACTTGTAATACAAACATGGATTGTATCTTGTACCTGCTCTTAAGAATGAAAAATGAATTTTTGTTGATATATTCAAGGAAACTTATTTGAACTTTGTATTAATGAAACTTGATGAATGGTGATGAACCAAATGAAATTCAGTGAACTTTGAAATATGCCATGCTTGTAATCTTCTCTTGAATCATGATGTAAACTTCTAAATTCCAAGCAAACAAAATCCATCAGTTTTCTAACTTTGCAACTTTGATCTTGGAAATACATTTGTAGGAAATGATGAATACTTTAAGTTTTTTTTTTTGAATTCCAAATGATGCACGGGAATAAATTTGAACTTGGATTTCAACTAGAACTTATCACTTGTAAATTGCATTTAAAGTAAGCCATAAACATGAACTTTCCAAACTCAACTTTTAGTCTTCAATTCAAATCCAACATAATTTGTAAGCAACCAAATAATTGAATAGGCAACCAAACTCTGCTTACAAAGAAATCTCAATCACATCTTCCATGTCATGGTTCATGTTTCGCAATTTAATCCACAAAACCGTCCTAGCTTGATAACCATTAATCTTAAAACAAAATTAATTCCTTGAGGAACGACTTAAAGACGAATGATAAGACTTGAAGTATGAATTCCAATGAATTTCAATTGAAATGTTGACAAACTCAAGCATGATAAGATGTAAACCCTAGCATGATGAACTTTGTTGAAGAATCATTATCAATGCTCAAGCAAGATAGGAGAAACCCTAATGCATTTTCTATGAGTGCACATTGATGAAGAAAGCTTGAGACGGCGAGAGGAATAAAACCTAGCTTAAGGACATTCACAGTGAATTCATGATAAAGTCTTGAGTACACAAGTCAAATCCTAATGCGCTGGTTTCTTGAAGAAATTCATATGAAGAAAAACTTGTATCTTGGGGAATCTTGCCAAGGAAAATATCCATGATGCTTGTGATCCAAAACCCTGGTTTTATACCAAGAGTGATAAATGGAATAGTGGGATCAACTTGAGAGAGACAGTAACCTCAACTCATAGGGGAAAACCCTAGTATCAAGAGCCATTTGAGCCCATGTCTTAATATCTCAAGTGAATGAAAGATTTATGATGTAAATGCATATGATGTTATGAATGAACAGATTAGGGGCAAAAAATGGGGTATGACAGCTGCCCTTATTTAAGTGTCTTCTATCCGGAGATATGAAGGTAGACATCTTCGTCTCGACGAGATTGAAGATACTTAAATATTAGAAGACCCCATTTTTTAACCCTAAGGTGTCATGAAATGCTTATGGTTATGAATGCATACACAAAGGATTCTGTGGGAAACACAAAACTTTATTGGGGATAATAACGTAGATGAAACTACGACTTGAAACCTGCTGGAGAAAGATGCCAAAGAGAATCCACCAGGAAAATAAATCATTGGGAATGACATAACTCTGGGGATGACTTTGTATGGGGAAATCCAGAACCACAATTGAAGGCAAAGTGATGTTTCAATGAGGAAACACTTAACAAAGCGAGCACCGAGCCTATAAGAAAGTAATCTTCCTGAAAGAATTACCTTCCCTACTGAGGAAAGAAACTTGACTCCATTGGAGGAAAATAAACTTCGTTGGGGAATAGAAGACTCACCTCTACTGGGGTAAAGCCCGAGAGGAGACAAAGTATCACAAACTCATTAAATGGGGAAAAAGCAATGGATAACAATGAAAGGATGATAACTATGAACTACAAACTCAATAGTCGAAGGTAGAAGATAAAAAAGATACCAACTCACAGATGACGGTAAAAGGTCAAAGGGTACACCAACTTTCATTGAAGGTGAAACTACAAACATTTACTAAAGGTAGAGGGAAAATATCATAGCACCGCCGTTTACTGATGATGAACTACCAACATTCACTAAAGGTAGCAAAAGATAACAATCACCAACATTCACTGTTGGTGAACTACCGACTTTCACTGAAGGTAGAGAGAAAGGAAATATCATAGCACCGACATTCACTGACAGTGAACTACCAACATTCACTGAAGGTAGCAAAAAGATAATAATCACCAACATTCAATGATGGTGAACTACCAACGTTCACTGAAGGTAGAAAAAGATAACAATCACCAACATTCACTGATGGTGAACTACCAACGTTTACTAAAGGTAGAGAGAAAATATCATCGACGTTCACTGATGATGAAATACCAACTTTCACTGAAGGTAGAGAAAAAAATATCATAGCACCAACGTTCACTGACGGTGAACAACCAACGTTCACTGAAGGTAGCAAAAAGATAACAATCACCAATGTTCACTGATGGTGAATTACCAACGTTTACTGAAGGTAGAGGGAAAATATCATAGCACCACTGTTTAATGACGATGAACTACCAACGTTCACTGAGGATAGAAAAAATATATAAATCACCAACTTTCACTGATGGTGACCTACCAACTTTCACTGAAGGTAGAAAGAGAAAATATCATAGCACCGCCGTTCACTGACGATGAACTACCAATGTTCACTGAAGGTAGCAAAAAGATAACAATCACAAACTTTCACTGATGGTGACCTACCAACTTTCACTGAGGGTAGAAAGAGAAAATATCATAGCACCACCATTCACTAAAGATGAGCTACCAACATTCACTGAAGGCATCAAAAAGATAACAATCACCAACATTCACTTATGGTAAACTACCAACGTTTACTGAAGGTAGAGAGAAAATATCATAGCACCGCAGTTCACTAACGATGAACTACCAACATTCACTGAAGGTAGCAAAAAGATAACAATCACCAACTTTCACTGATGGTGACCTACCAACTTTCACTGAAGGTAGAAAGAGAAAATATCATAGCACTGTCGTTCACTGACGATGAACTACCAATGTTCACTGAAGGTAGAAAAGAGATAACAATCACCAACTTTCACTGATGGTGACCTACCAACTTTCACTGAAGGTAGAAAGAGTAAATATCATAGCACCGCTGTTCACTGACGATGAACTACCAACGTTCACTAAAGGTAGCAAAAAGATAATAATCACCAACGTTCACTGATGGTGAACTACCAACGTTTACTGAAGGTAGAGATAAAATATCATAGCACCGACGTTCACTGACGGTGAACTACCAACGTTCACTAAATGTAGAGGAAAAATATATATCATAGCACCTTCGTTCACTGACAATGAACTACCAACATTCACTGAAGGTAGCAAAAAGAGAATAATCACCAACTTTCACTGATGGTGACCTACCACCTTTCACTGAAGGTAGAAAGAGAAAATATAATAGAACCGCCATTCACTGAAGATGAACTACCAACGTTCACTGAAGGTAGCAAAAAGATAACAATCACCAACATTCACTGATGGTGAACTACCAACTTTCACTAAAGGTAGAGAGAAAGGAAATATCATAGCACCGACGTTCACTGACAGTGAACTACCAACGTTCACTGAAGGTAGCAAAAAGATAACAATTACCAACGCTCACTGATGGTGACCTACCAACTTTCACGGATGGTAGAAAGAGAAAATATCATAAGTTTATCCAAAATTCTGGCGTTTCACCTAGAACGGGTCTCAACTTCTTCTTTAACCAAGGCACTCCGCCTGGAAAGGTTAATATATAAGCTGTCTCAAATAAAGAGACTACCACTT